GATATCCACCTTTGGGTGAAGCGTATGCATGTGTTAGAGATACCCCTATACACTATAGAGATGTGGTCGTATCAGGTCGTGGTGACATTGACTCGTCTCTAGGGGATGACCTGTAATCCACAGACTGGGATTGCGACCCCTTGATTCATCGACGTGACTTTGGTGACTTGCTAATGAGCCTCTACTTGGACTGTGGGTCATGGGAAACACTGGGTCAGTTCGGTAAAGCTTATGTGGTATGTAGTCCACAGTTGGAGGTGGAGTACCCCATATTTACAGATTGAATTTCTAAAACCATATGGATCCTTTACCCATCATATTAATTTAATTGTATTCATTTTATTATTGAAATAATTTTAGTTTTATTACTTGAATTTTTATGAATCTCTCAATCTTTTAATTATGATTTATGGACTTGTAAAAAAACAGTTATAAATTTTATAAAGTTGTAAAAATTCATATATATATATATATATTAATTCGTTGTATTTTAAACCTTTTTATAAAATTCCATGGGGGCCCAAAATGCACATGGGCCCACCATGTAGCATGTGGGTGGGGGCCCACGTGCCACAAAAGGGTGGCACGCCCCACCCTTTGGATTCTTTGTTTGCTTTATGTTCAAGTCTTTAAGTTAAGGTAAGTTTGATTTGTGGCATGTGGTCAAATCTTGGAAGGAAAATATTGACTATGGCTTTATTTGTTTTATAGCAAGTTTGTTTTAAAGAGATATGGTCAATTTGAATAAATAGTAAATATTGACTTTATCTTATTTATATTTGGTAGTATTTATTTACTTGATAATATTTGATATATCTTTATGGAATGTATGACATGGATCATGTAATTTTATAGAATGCATGATATTTATTTTATTTAAATATATTGATGGGAAAATTATTTAAGGAAAGATGGATAATGGTCCAAGCACCTTCCATAATGTTGATAGTCCATCTATGGAATGGATGGCTCAGATCTCTCAACCCACAAGTCACCTTGATCAACGGTCTAGATTCAATCTAATGAAAGATGCAAACTATGAAAAAACCCTAAGAAATCCCAAACCTAAATATTCATTATAAATATGCGTGCTCTCCCCTCAATCTGTACACAACTTCTTTCTCTCTCCTATAACCTATCTCTCTCGGGCATGTCTCACTCTCTCTAACTTTCTCTCTCCAAAATCCTAGGTGGTACTCTCTCTCCTCTCTAGATGTAAGTTAATTTTATGGGTTGAAAAATTAGAGGGGGCCTGAGTTAATATTGGGGGTTAAGGTTTAGTAGAGATTTTAAGGGGCGCTTACCTAGTTTGTCCGAAATCAGCTATCCCTGTTCGAGATTGAAGCTAGACCACAGATCCCGTACCATTGGATGTGGTGTCTCGGTGTGGGGTGTAAAAAGCCCGGTTGAGGTAATATCTGACATCTTTTATTTTATTTGCTTTTTCTTTATTTTATATTCTTGAGCACAATATTAGGTTGTATGAATGGTATCAAGTTGTTGAGATTTATTTTATTGATGTGCTATTTATTTTGGAATTTCTATTGCTTGTAATAAGACCATCTCTGAGTGATCTTGTTGTAAAAATATAAGGGGTTTTTATTATTATTAAGAAAAAAATTGTATTTCCTCAGCAAAAGATCACATAGGTCTTTCTTTCAAACATTACAACATGATGTCTTGAGTTCCACTCTTACGCATAGTTAGGAAGTCTCCATTAAAAACACAAACTTTTTCAAAAAATTTCTGATTTTTTGAAATTAAGAACTCCAAGTTTTTCATTTTAGAAAAATCAAGTTTTTTAATGGAACCGATATAAATCCATATTTTATCTTTTTCAAATTTTTTTTTGTTTTCAAAAAACCTTCTTCCCTATAACTTTATTTATTCCTTAACTTAATATTATTGAATTTTGATTTAAAGATAAGAACATTAATAGTGGAAGGAAATTAAGAACTTTGATCTAAAAACTTTCACAAATGAGTTCCTTTTAAACAATTGTACAACAAAAATGCAAGCAATATATTCCCCAAAAAAAATAAAATCAAAACAATCGTATATCTCAAAATAATTAACCCAAGGAATTTTCTTTCTTTCTTTAAATCTATATCATCCTTTAAATCTATATCATCCTTATAAAAAGCAAGAGAGAGATTCAATTATACTAAAGATTTAGGTAGCTAGGAATTCAGTGCGAGATTTGAATTTGTTTAAGAATTTTGTTTTGTTTTTTATGCCAAGAGAAGTTCGATTAATTTTGTTTTTTACTTTTTATTTCATTGGTGTATACAACATAGCAATTTAAATGGACCACTATTTTATATATTTGGATCTTTGCATTTTTGTTTTAATTAATTGCAATCTCATACATGGTGTGTTTTTTGTTCTTTTTTCTTTGAAAAATAATCCTATATCTTGGTTCATAGTTCTTGTTATTTGCTAATTAGTTTGTGTTTAGTATTGTTGTTGTTAGTTCATTTTATGCTTCTAATAAATCAATGATACATTTTGTGTCGTGACAACATAGTAAGCATTGTTGCTGGACTTTTTTAAAGTTTCAACAAAAAAATTGTCGGGTATTGCTCTAATGAAATTAGGCTATAAAATTAAAGTTTAATGGCTTTAATATATCTATACAATAATTGCAAATCATAATTGTTTATTATGTTATCTTTATATATCCTATTTTTTCACTACATTTTTTTGAACTATATCCGAAATATTTACTATTCTATGACTTACTTTATTTTTGGCAATCTGTATTTTTTACCTAATTGTTTCTACCAAACATTTTGAAATAAAACCGATTTGTTACCAATGTTTTGGTGTGCCGATATTTTATTATTTTCGATTTGCTATCTGTGTTATGGATAGGAAACCTTTCCCTGCTAAAGTACCAAGAAAAAAATATTGTACTTTAGCGATTGGGCCTCGACTTAATTAGTCAGTAGTCGATGTTTGTAGCGCTATGTCCTTAGTTCCATTCCTACTGACTTACTCGAAAAAGAAAGGTAAGCTTCTATGCTTCCCGTGCTGACAAAACCTTTAAGGAAAATTACAAAAGTCCCCAAAGGGGGAGTTTTCACACAACCTATCTTCAAAAAAGTTTTTTTTAGCAACGTTTATGTTAAATTGAACTTTTCTAGCAAGTACCTTCGAGTAAAAAAAATCATACTTTTTTTACAAAAATGCCTATAGTGCCGGACCGTATGCTCAAAGTGTCGGACCACCCCTATTTTATGTCGAACCGCATACTTTTCGGAAATCCAAAATACCGGACCACCCCCATTTTATACCGGACTGCATGCCTTTCAAAAGCAAAGTGTAGGACTGTCCCCATTTTGTGTTGGACTGTATGTTTTCTATAGGGTATTTTAATCTTCATTTTACATTTTTTATGACTTAGGAGGGTATTTACTAAGAAGGTTAAATTTGGGGTAAAAAGTGAGAAAAAGAGTTTGGTTGGGGGGTAAGTTGCATAGGAAGTCTATTCATAGGGTTTATTTTGAATTTTCCCCCTATCCAACCATCCATTCTGAATAGACAGTTGAGATGGCCCCAATCACAATGTCACGTCTGCAAACTATTTTATTTTTAATTTTAAAAAAAATCTATTTTGACACCAAATTTTGAGCATCCACACCTCTTTTAAAGTAGCACCGGTAAAATAAAAAAAAAATCTCAATAAAATAAAATGATCGAAATCCTCTGAAAGTTTAAATAGGTATTTTGGTCATTATATTTTATCAACAAATTGTTTTTAATTTTTTTTAGGTGAGTCCCTTTAAGATAATGGTATGTGCCAAATTTCATATTCATATAATTTATAGAAAAAACTAAAAATAAAATACTTTGAGGCGTCAGATCTAGATCAAATGGTCAATGGCTCACTTGATCTAAATTGGACAGCTGGATGATGGGGTAGGATAGGCGTACAAAAGTTTCCCAAAAAAAAACACCATTTAGTTACGAAAGAAGTTTATAGAAGGTTGCAACCTGAAAATGTAAAATTTAAAATGCATCTAAAAAATCCATGGAAAAATGTTGTTTTAATATTGACAAAACCTCTAATTGATCATCTAGACAACGAAATGGATGAATATGAAATAAAAAAAGATTTTGAGATCCAAAAATAGTGCATCTTGCAATACATTATCTAGACCGTCCATTTTTAAGATTTTCAAATGTTTATAAATCTACTTGATTTTAGCCATTTTTGGAATTTAAAATTTTATAATTAGATATAAAAATAGATTTCGAGATAATCCTAAGAGAATTTTTCATCAAAATTACATGTTATGATAAAATTAGGAGGTGCAGAATGTTTAATGTTGCAAGAAACCACACCATTTAGTTATTCTATACTGGTTCCTATAAAAAAAAGAGCTCTAGCTTAATTGATTAGTGCTGGACCATTTTAGTTATTCTATACCGGTTCTTATAAGGAAAAGAGCTCGATCTTAATCGATTAGCGCTTGACCATTTATAACGCGACACTGGTTCTCATAGTCTCATGAAAGGTAGGCCCTTTCCTGACCGACTCACCCAAAAAAGAAAAAAAAACGGAACCTATAATGTCATGGCCACAGTATATCATGAGCACAAATTACTTGTACTCCTTAGAAGACTGTCAAATATTAAATTTTGGGATGCGCGTTAAGAATTACTGAGATGATTATTTTTAAAAGAATTTGAAAGTTGAGTTTTCTAACATTTAGATCTCATCATCTAAATAAAAATTAAGCGGTCTTCAAGACATTATTTGTTCAAGTGCAAATATGATAAAATTTGAGGTTAATCCATGAATAGGTTAGATCCGGAAAGTTTGAGGTCCTCAAATTAATTACGGTTGGGGTTTTACAGAGTAACAATGTAGTCCCGCGGAAGTAGTATATATTTTGGCAGCAGACAAAATCCAGTATGCTGAGGCTTGAGAGGGAGAGAGAGTCGCGTGCGTGTGCATATGTCATTCATAATCTCCTAAACGGGAAGAGAGAGGGGTGCCTCTCTTGCTTGGGGAAATGCAGGCATATCTTGTGAGCGGAAAAGCTGCACCCCCACCTTCCTCGTCCTCGTCCCTATCTTCCATTGATGCTTTGTGGTTTGAGAGAAGAGGAGGAAGAGGTCTCTTGTGCAACAGGAGAAGAGCTTCGTCCTTGTTCACTACCAGATCCACTACCAACTCCTCTCAAGAGCAGGACCACTACTCAGTCCTCGGCCTCTCCTCAAATGCTTCTTCTGCTGATATCAAACGTGCATTTCGCTTTCTCGCTCTCAAGGTCACCTCTCTCCCCACATTTTCCATTTGTTTCTTCTTTTTTCTCTTCCTCATTTTTTTTAGGGTTGTTGATTTCGTCTCTTTGATGCCCTTTTCCTGTTTATTTTGCGTTCCTTTGCTCCTCCTTATTTGCTTTCATCCTCCGTTTAAAATCTCTCTCTCTCTCTCTCTCTCTCTCTCTGCCTTTTTGGATGGGCTCTGCTGGAGATATGTGAATCTCTGTTGTGGGTTATGCATATTTTTGTTTTCAAGACAAATTTGGTTTTTTTATAATAGCTAGTGGAAGTCTAGATTGTTCGTAGGTGATATGGTATTGCAATCTTTTGACATTAAAAACAATGTTACATAGTGAGCATCTGAGTGAGTTCATTCTCTGGGAGTTGGAATGGCAACACTGTTTTCATTTTTCCCTTTGATTTTATTGTTTCTGTTCGCTCAAAGATATGGGAGGGAAATGGGATACCGACCTTCCAACTCCATGGGGATGGTCTGATCCGGATTCATTGGCATGCTTACTGAGTGCTTTATTTGTAACTTTTCGGTGTTCTAGACTTGGATGAAGTGGAACCAGAAGGGTTTCCTCTTGGCTCTTTGTATAATTCCCATCTTTTTGTAGGGTTGAAAAGAAAATTAGTAAGATTTCTTAGAACATGGTAGTTGAAGTAAAGTCTTCAAGTTTCTTTAGTCTCATGGTGGCCTTTGGGTGTTTTCACTAAGTTGCACCAGTTTATGGAGGGGATACAAGCAAAAATACCTTGGATGGGATACAGGCAAAAATACTTTGGAAGTGCTAACTTATCTTGCTGTTGTTTGATCGAATGGGTCTAAGCAAGTGGACTTGCAGGCAATTGTGATTAGGTACTTGCCTCTAATGTTCAAGCCTTTGGTTTCTTAACACATTCCATCCCATGGTGGTTTGAAACTTGATCATGGCTGGGGATCCTGAGAAAACTTCGTCTGGCTGGTTGAAAGGTGATGTTATTTTTGATGCAAGGTTGAATTCCTTTACAATTTCTTATTATTGGGTATGTTGCCACCAGCTGTCCCAAATTTAACGGTATTAGATAACACTTGAAATTTGGCGAGTTGTCTGATTGGTTCAACTAGTTGCATTCCCTGAATTGATTTGTTTGGTTGAATGACCCATTTTTTCTGCATCAACGAGCCTAACTGAGCCAAGTTTGGACATTCTTAAGCTTACTTGCATGATTGGAGGATGAGCTTGAGATTGACTCGAGTTTGAACCACCCAGCTTGAGCTTGGTGTGATTATGGGGAGGTAAGCTTCAGCATGGCTTTCTTAAGACAACATACAAGCAGCCAAGTGAAGCCATAAACAAGCCCACAACTGACCCAAGTCAAGCCAAAAGCAAGCCAGGGCAATCTATAAACAAGCCACGCATAAGCCATACTTTTTGGCTCCAAGTGTTTTGAAAATTCACATGTATTAATGTCGCATTAATATATATTATTAGAATATATAGTTTAGTAAACAAGAGCAAACCAAGCTTGCCTCGGCTCAAGCAAGGCTTGAATAATAAATGAACCCTCCAGCTCCGCTTGGCTTGGCTTTTGAGCTGGAAAAGATTGTCCAAGTTTGGCTCACTACCAGCCAGCCGAGCGAGCTTGTGATCTGGCTTGACTTGTTGGCACGTTATTGGACAGGTCCTTCTTCTTCCTTGTTTTTGTTTTCTTTTAATGTTGATTTACCTGAAAAATGCCAGATTTATAAGATTTCATTTTCTATGGAAAATTGGTTTAATCCTCCAAAAGTGTGATGGAGAAACCCTCTCTTTGGGGACGAGATAGAAGATGTATATGTGAACAAGGTGAACAGTAGACCTTGTGTCCTATTTTATAGGCCCTGTTTTCAGTTGGAGTATTTCTTTAGCATGGAGATGTTTTGCTGAAGATGATTCAGCTCATCTCATTGTGTTTTTTAGATTGTGCACTTCTAGGGGTTGGGTTGAGACTTCTTTACTGAAAACTGCTTCATCATTAACTCAAAGAAAGAAAAATGCTTCGTTATTTGAGGTGGGTTATTTCTTCTCTTCTAGGGGATCAAGCAAAGAACCTACTTGGCTCATGTTTGTTGAAGATGGCAAAGACATAATATAAATGTCTTTATTGTGGGAGAGCATTTGAAATTGTGTAGAAGCTAGATGAGAAGGATTGCTTGGTTGTGTTTTACTTTACCAACCATTTTTGGGGCACAACCTAGTGTGAAAACTGACATCTCTCAATAGGTTACCTAACATGCTGATGTGTTTACTAGGTGATGGATTTACAAGGTTGCTTTTCATCCTGTGTTTCATTGTCTTTACTTGATTTGGTAGCATCCAATGGCCTTGGATATGAAAGACTACTTCATGAAACCAAAGGATGGATGTGTTAGAACATTGTTGAAAAGGTTTTAGCAGAGACCTTTAGATCATGGCTTAAGCTAAATCTGGATGTGGATTGATCAAGTAGAAAACTAGATTTTGAAAAGGCAGGTCTTTTTTTAATATTCTAATTTGGTACTGTCTGTCAGGTATTGATTAATTGAAATAAATAGAGACATTGGTTTGGTTAATTTACATTTAATTTCTAAGATGTGGTTGCTTGTGGTCAAACGACTGATTGTGTTATGTAAGAATTCCATCAATGCAATCATTAATGAATGGGCCACTTCGTACGACACATTATATGGAGGACAATTAAAAGTTTTTAAGTACATGGATGATGAATAGTGACTAAACAGTTCCATGATATCTTGGGTTGATAATCCAAGAAAATAGAGAGATCGAGGAAGACATCGCACATAGAATTAGAGCTGGGTGACATACCAATGAAGCTGAAGGGCAAGTTCTATAGGACAGTTATGAGATCAGGTTTGCTCTATGGGGCGAAACATTGGGTGGTCCAAAAACAATATACCTATAGAATGAGTGTATCAGAGATGAGGATGTTGAGATGGATGAGTGGCAAAACAAGAAGCATAGAATTCAAAATGAATACATTCGGAAAAATTTAGTTGTGGCACCAATATGCGATAAGATGAGAGATAGTAGACTTAGGTGGGCTAGCCATGTGTGACGCAAACCCAATACAACAGCTGTTAGGAGGTGCAAGTTAGTTCAAGTGGAAGGCTCAAAATGGCAAGGGGTAGGCCCAAAATGACATGGTTTGAAGTACTGAGAAACGATATGGGGACTTATTGACTGACCCTTAATAGAGCAAAATGGCGGAGCACGATTCATATAGTTGACTCCAATTAGTTGGGAAAAGGCTTTGACGACGGTGATGACATTTGTGTCTCTTTTCTGATAGGTAGTCAAGAACATCTTATCAGTGTTACATGGACATGGACACGGGTGTCGTGTCTAGTACATGTCTTGAGTGTCAAGTAGTTTGGCCAAAAAACCTAGTATAGCCTAGACACGTCCATACAATTCTTCCTTGTCCTTTTGATCTTATTTCTAAGAAGTAGGCCTGTATGATGTTCCATCATTTTAGATCAAAAGGCTTGTGTTTGAGTTGTGATAAAATATTGATGTAGAAAGAGAAAGGGTCGTAGATAAGTAATGGTGGCTCTTGAGAGTTGAGGACTCGAAACTTCGATGTCAATGAAAAATTTGTTTCTGTTAAGGAACTTATTGAAACAAAGATTTCATTCAAGCATTGGATGATGCAAAGCTGTTGCATGCTAGGATATGATGATGAAAAGTTGTTGCATGCATTAAGGAGATATAATTCAGACAGCTAACCCGTAAAAGGAAAGTAGAAATTTAGTCAACTTTGGAATGGATAAGTTAAAATGGACACTAGATCGTCATCCTACATTATGTGATGGTGTTGGTGAGGATGATGGTGATGATAAATGTGATGAAGGGGACTCAGACTTTGACTGGAATGAGCAGCTTAGACAGGATGGGATGGATGGGGCATTCTTAATGTTCTCTTTTACCTTTTGACTTTTATTTAGCGGCTGTCTAAGTGGCATGCAAACAATATGGATGGATGGATGGTTCATAATTATGCAAGTCTAATTAGTGATGAGATCTAACAGTACTGGAGAAATAGATTAGAACGAAATTTTTTATTTTAGTTGATTATTAATGCTTAACTTAGTTTTTCTTAAAAAACAATGCTTACTTGGTAATTAGATTTAATCTCTAAGTATTTAAACTAAAAATTTAATAGATTATTTATCAAATTTGTCTTTTACAAACATCATCAGTAGTTCACTAATTCGGTGCTCAAATAATTGTTAGGAAATGATATATTGTTTTCTTTATTTATATTTTTTATTTTCATATTGTTGAACTACATTTCTTAGTTGACAGTCTATGCAGCCGAGTCAGATTGTATTGGACACTATATTGTTTGTTCAGTAATCCAGTCGATTTTGATAACACTGCATTTTATGAAAGTATAGTGTATACTCCTTTTATACATTGTAATGTGGCATTCGTCGTGTCTTGCTTATTTACATGTTTACAGGATATAGTTGCCTACTACATATGGTATATAAGATTCACCTATATATTGATATATATTGATTTGTTTTACATATAATGGAGTATCATAGCTAGTGTTTGTGTATATCTCATTAAATATGTCTTAGCTTTCATTATTAAATATAGATCTGTATGGATATGTACACCCCACATGCACCCTCATATATAGGTATATGCAGGTGTGTTGTGCATGCATTCTTATGTGTGTGTGTGTGCACTTATGTTTATGTTTACATGGGTGTATGTTGTGTAACTTTATATATGTATTTCTTCATGTCTCTTGGAATTGTTATTTCTTCATCCAAATATAACACATACCTACATGCATATATAAATTCGACATGTTGCCTATGAAATGCCAAACCTCTATTTGGACAAAGACCAAACATTGATTATGGCATGACTGAGCTTCAACTGTCATCTGCTCCTGCTCTGAGGTTCCTGATCAGGGGAGACACTCTAGTAGCAGCAGTTTCAATTTCTGAGGATGGTGGTTCTATTTCTTGCTGCATAAAGAAAGAATTTAATGCCTACTGATTCTTAGAACTGAGTAAGAATTCATCTGTTTGATGCACGTTTCTTTGAAGTTGTTGATCTATCGGAGTTGGAGCTTTGTTTTGGTATCAAAATCATCTTAAATGAATTGAAATATGCATGAAGAAAATATTTGGCATGAATCTTCCTTCAATGTGCATCCCAGAGGAAGGTTTAAATGGTTGCTCTGCCACTAGAATCTGAGTTCTCTGTTTGCATGTTACTTTAGCTCAAGGATATACTTAAGCTCAAGGATATTTTGGATGTTTCGAATTGGTATTGTATTCTTTTCTCGATCGGTTTCAGTGTAGTGGTATGTGTTGATGTTTCTCAAGTTTATTTGAGTAAGATATACATAGGGCCTGAGAGGCAACATGCTTCTTATGACACTTTAAGTTGTTATACCTATCTTGAGCTATTTCCAATGAGGTGTAGGCCCCGCATTGCATGGGACCCACCTAGGACCCTCACTTTTTAACTTTGAGGTCATCTAGGAAGACTATTGAGAAATGTTGGCGTTTTGAAAGTTTTGGTAAACTTGTGAATTACATAGAAACAACGATAAAATCACTCCTATCCATAATGGATATTGGTGAGAGTTTTTCGGAAGAAAACTGATCTGACATCTCATAGAAAACACCCATTTGATGGGAACCTTTTTGAGAAAGCCTCTTAGTAGTAGCTGACCCCCTATTAAGGAACTTCTTAATTTCTCCCCTACTCCATATTAGCTATCACTTTGGGACTTTTAAAGGGAAAGTAGTAATGACGTTTCAAGGTGCACCTCTTTGATTCCTGCTCTACATCTGTACCGAATATTAGATGTTAGGCAAGATGCCAGAATCACATTTGGAGTGCTTCCTTGTGCTTCTCAATCCAAATCACAGTGCATAACAATGAGATGCACCAACTTGGCGTCTCTTTTTTGATGAGTAACTTCCATTATATATCAGGAAAAAGTAGAATAAAATTGAATCAATCATGCAATCAACAAGGGATATATGCAACTAAAGGTGTCAAGTAGTTGGAAGTCATCCCCACCAGATTAATTCAAATTGTTCAAATTGTCAAGTATTTTGGAATATGGAAATGAAGCACCCGCATTAGAGTGTAAAGCTTAAAATATAAATTGAATGAGAATATACAACCTTCCGTTGCAATACCACCATACCTCTCTGTATCCCTTTCTAACACAACATTGTTCATACCCAACTCAACCAAATCATCCATCTTCCTTTCATTGAGGTCCCTTTTATAAGTTTAATCCTAAATGACTCTAACCCCTTAAAAGTAATGCTCGCTCTTGATCCCTTTCATTAATGACAATTGCATTCTTAGGGGATACCTCTTTTCTTTCATCACTGACTACTGTTATATTAGGCAAGGACAGGATCATATCTTCCAATCTGGACTTGAATATGGGCCACAACTTCACCAGAACACATCACTAGAGTGGCCATGCTTTAATTTCCGGCCCACTTGAGGCTCGTTGCACTGGTTTAATTATGTGGATTTTCTTAGTTAGAGATTCATTGTTCGTAACTTTGAGTTTGCATAGAAGATTCAAGTGTGCAATCAACAATCATTAAAACAATTTTAGAATTGTCGTTCTCATGTACTTTTGTGAGGGTTAGTAGTTGGGTTGGTGATCCTTTATTCATCAATCTGGGCCCGTCTTAAATTTCTCCAGTTCTGTCATGAATTTCTCACTTATGCATTTCAACTTTGGGCATTACTGACTTTCCAAATAGAGGAAAAACTTTAATTACAGTGTCGTATTTGAGGTATTACTATAGTAGCTTTCAGGCTGATGCCTTGTAATTTGGGTTGAATCTTACGATTTTGCAGTTGCTGGGGTTTTGTGCTTTCAAATGGCAATGCTTTAATCAGTGTTTGAAAAAACTCGATCCATAGTGGCATCAGCTAATCCAGATCGGGAGTTGGTGGGAACTGATATAGTCTTGGTCGGAACTAGGAATCGGACTAGTTGCCAAACGGTTCCCTCAGGGAAGTGGGCGATTTGGATCACACGGTTCCCATGAAATGTAGTTTTTTAGTATTTTTTTTATTTTTTTCAATTTTTATTGATCAATTCCCATTGGTCAGATCGCCGATACAGATATGTTTCCCAGATGGCCGGTTCACCCTAGCGATCTGGGTTTTAAAACACTGGTTTTAGTTTATCAATAAGTACTTATAGTCCAACTTTGCTGTTCTGCTACTGTCTCTTTACAATATTGCTGTCTCAGAATTTTGTATGCCTTTGTGAAATTGAAGTAGTATTACTGAATCTTAATTTTGTCGTATTCATTTTTTGGTTGTGCAGTATCATCCTGATGTTAGCAAGGAGTTCCGAGCTGGTGATGTGTTCAAGAGCATTCATCTAGCATATGAGGTTCTTCAATATAAATCAAATCTCATAGAATCACTTTGGTATTATGCATTTCTTTCTTATTTTAAGGGTGTTTGAGTATTTCCATGATGCTTTCCTTCTCCAAGATTAATGGTGACTACTATTTCCATTTTATTTGCGATATCTTGGAAGTACCGTTTGCGATATCTTGAAAGTACCGTCAGTTCACTAGACTTATTTCTTTTTTCCAGCATGTTTTTAGAAAAATACAATCTCATACTTAAACTCAATATAGTGCACACTTGAATATATGGTACATTTATAAACATAGATTTAAATTGGACTTCATCATCATCATCATCATCATCATAGCCTTTTCTCAACTATTTGGGGTTCGTTAATAGATTTAAAATGGACTAATAGAAGTTCGTGTATATTTTAAAATTTCTTTTTTAATTATAAAATCTCTTCATTTTCTTCTTGTTTTTCCACAATTTTGTCAATAATCTTCTTAGAAAAATTCAAGGCCTAAATCTCCCAAATTATTACCTTGCCAAGAAATTTCAACAAGATTTGTCACTTTATCAACTTTAAAAGAAAAACAAATGTCTTACTTTGTGAACCTCCACCAGGTATTATCCAACAAAACAACACGTACAGAATATGACAAAAAAAGAGTAAGAAGAATTCAGGAAGAGAGAAGAAGAAGTACTCGGAGGAATTGGGATTCACCGGAGCAGATCAACCCCTATGAAAGGGTGCACGTATACACAAGGTCGGAGCAACGACGGAGGCGCAAGCAAAGGCAATGGTTTAGTCAAGTGGAATTAGATTACTCTTCCTCTTCAGATGAAGACGAGGAAGAAACGTCGGCCTCAAGTCAAGAGAGAGGCTCATTTGTTGAGGTTTTGAGGTTCACATTCTTCACCCTCCTCATTGTTCAAACACTTGGGGTTAAGGTTGCACTCAGTTTAAGTGGGGTGAATGCGATGCTTGATAGGCGGCTTGACAGTGGTTATAAGCTGGGTTATGTGATTGCTTGGTTTATGGGGGGGAGAGGTGGGGTTCTGTTGGCTATTTGCCTTTCTTTTGCGAGTTGGCTTTGTGGAAAATGTAGTAGTAGCTTTGTGGCATTGGTGGTGGTGGCGATGTGGGTTGGGGTCGATCTTGCAAGGTTTGCACCATTGCCTAGAGGTGCAATACTTACATTGTTGTATATGTCAATTAGGTTGCAGGATGATTTAAAGGCTGAAGGTATTTAATGATGAATGGTAGGTTCGTTTTTAAGTGTTTCTGTATATATCTTCCTGTTTTGTTTATGCATCGGAGAATTGTTGGGTTCTAATTTCTATTTGTTGCCCTCACGTCCATTTGTTTTATATCGGCTTGCTCAACATGGGCGCTCTCTCTCTCTCTCAGCAGTCAATAAATATTATCTTGAGTTGCGAAAAACTTGATGAGACTAATCCGGCTCAATACGCCCCGGCACCCGGCATAGAGTGAGGCAAATTTGTTGCAATAATAGTAGGTAAATTGTTTTGATAGGGCTGCAGCCTATCAAAATAAGTAAAGGGCTACCTCAAAAATTTTTAAAATCGATCATCTCCTCCTTAACGGTTATGGTTGGATTAAAGAAATTTAAATTTTAAATACTAAAAATAGTGTATATTGTGGCATGTTTATCTAAATTATTTATTTCACCCTAAAATAAATGCTAAAAGTGTAACATAGAGCTGAGGCTCTAATCAATCAAATTTGAACTTACCTCATAAAAATTTCACTAAAAGAGGTTGTTTTAGTGCCCAAATATCTTCAAATTGATCATCTTGACATCAAGGTGCATGGATTTCAAATTTTGAAAAATAATGTATTTTGTAACGTATTTTTGGACCTTCAATTTTCAAGATTTCATAGAACTATCGATGTACACTATGCTTTAAACTTTATAAATAAGTATGAAAATATATTTTTAAGCTATCACAAAGATTTCCAATATTGAAACCACATTTTTCGATATTGTTTGAATATAGGCTCTAATTTGATTATTTAGAGCCTAGGCTCTATACAAACTACACCCATTTTTTAATATTCAAATTTTGTAGTCCGTATTGGAAATTCTTGAAGCTATCCGATGGCCAAAGCTTTCCTAAGAAGACTTTGTTTTCATAAAGCTTAGATTTTAAACAAGGGTGGTGTGGTTTCTATAAGGTTGCAACCTTAACAATCCAATTGCAGCACACCTTAATATTCTATCATAACATGTAATTTTATTGTAAAAAATTCTTAATATTATTTTAAAATATATTTTCAGACTAATTAGAAAATTTTAATATCCAAAAATAGTTATAATCGAATAGATTTATAAATATATGAAAATCTCGAAAATAGACTATTTCCCAGATTCAAAAACTCTTTTTTTTTTAATATTCATAAATCTCGATGAGATGATTGATAATAGGGTTTTTTCATCATTAAATCAACATTTCCTATAGATTTTTGAGATGCTCATGTGATTCATTTTAAGGTTGCAACCTTATGTAAACTTTTCCCTTTAAATAAACTAAATCCCGCTAGATCTAAGGTCTTAGGGCGGCCGCATAAAACTATGAGAGCACAACGACACATCACAGGAGAGGCGAGAATACAGTGAGTATATTCGGGTGATGGAAGATTGGACATTGCACTTGTACAATCCACACTGTCCAAAAACCTACAACCAAACTGATAAAAGAAACATTTACTAAAATTTTGAAGACATTTTGACGTGTCCACCCACCGTAATTGTGTTGATAAAAATTGAAAGGGTGATCTGTGCTGTCTCCACGCTTTTGCTTTGATTACCACTCATTCACGCAAAGCCGCGGCCAACACGGGTCCGTAAATCTCACTTTCCCGAATTCCGGCGACCAGTAAATCGATGATTCCGATCATCTCATGAACGCTTAGAAGAACCAAGCAACCGGAAAATGGCGAAATTCCGACATCGTATAAAATCGCACACTTACAATACATTCTCATGTAATTACAATGCGAACAAACACGGCTCGTGTAAAGAACCAAAAAACCCCTATTTTAAGAGAGAGAAGGGTTAATCAGCACTCCTTTGGTTTGGGCTCCTCTTTAACCCTCAGATTTCGCCACAAATACCTTCCGCTGGCCATGTCCACTAAGGTCCAAAAGCCATTACCCAAAGATGAAGCCACCTGCAAAACCAGGGGAAAAAATGGCAACAGAAAAAACAAGATCAGAAATCTTTCCAGCTAATCTCCATTAAGAAGATCAGAAACCCTAAAACAATGAAACTCTAAAGAACCCATCAAATTCCCCATTGAAAATTTCCAAGAAAAACGCCACCTTTGTGGAGCAGGCAACTTTGTTTTCAGGCAAGTCATTAACAACAAGATCACCGGAATCATCGTCAGATTTCGACCTAATCGATCTCCAGGCGAAATATCCAGCCAATGTAGCAGAGAGGAAGACGAGCATAAGCCTCAAAGGACACATTTTTAAGACCTTGGGCCTGTCGTCCTCCCTGCAAAACTAATTGCCAAAAATGAAAAAAAATGGATTGAAGGATCGCCGCGAAATGGAGGTGTCGTAGTTTCCCGGCATCTACAAAACTAATTGGCAAACATGAACAAAAATGGATTGAAGGATCGCCGCGAAATGGAGGTGTTTGTTTCCCGGCGAAAACCCACCGGAGATGGCGAAGTTACGGAGAAATAACCGCCGGAAATGAGATTTTCCGACGATTAATGCGGGAACTACGACCTCTGGAAGTAGGGCAGGGTTGATTATAGATCGGTTGTTTGCCTTATAGAACAACAGGGTGGGTGGACTCAAGTTGGAAATAAGGGGAGGCGGACTTGAAATGAGAATTAATGGGAGTGGAGAGAGGGGGTTTCAAGTCCGTGTTTTGTGTACAAAGTCAAACGTGGTTGGCAACCACTCTCAGCGCACGTCCCCTCCACTCCGACCCAGTCACGACATGCAATAAAAATAGCTCTAAATTTACACTTAATATCAGAAATGCCAAGGCCCGTACTTCTTTCATTGCGGGCGGCCCAACGTAAACCCAAGCCGCCCTTTAATGCACCATTTGTATTATCCAATCTCACATTATTATATTTATTTATTGTATTTTATGTTATATATAATATTATTTAAATATTTAAACTTTTAATGATTTTAAGCCAATTTAGCTATTTATGACCAAGTATATATATGTCCAGTAAATTACTTTGTGTAAAGTAAAAAATAAAAATAGTATCTCAAAAGATTGGCTCAAATGTAAAAAGTATATGTAAATTTATCTAAGATAACTTATAATAAAGACAACCCAATGACAGATAACTTGTTATCATGATTAACTTTATTGAATCAGTGAATTATCACTGACAACGAGTATGTCCAAACAGACCGTAACACTCCATCGGAAAATATAAGCCCATGCTGTGATGTTTTCACAGGTGCGGTTTGTATAGAGCCGAGGCCCTAAATGTAAAGTGTGTCAAAAAATATAGTTTCAATATTGAAAATTTTTATCACAGCTTTAAAATATATTTTTATATTTAATTATAAAATTTAACGATTAAAAAAGAATGTAGATTGAGTAGATCTATGAAAACTTGAAAATTGACGGTCCAAAAATGCGTTACAAGATGCACTATTTCCAAAACTTGAAATCCATTTTTTTTCTCATATCCACTTATCTTGATATTGAGATGATCAATTTGGGGATATTTGAGCATCAAAACATCCTCTTCTAGTGAAATTTTTGAGGCGGGCTCTAATTTGATTGTTTAGAGCCTCGGCTCTATATAAACTTCTTCTAAACACAAAACTACATGCAAATTTATCTCTATGATAAATACAACCAAATGACAAATAAATTGCTATTATAATTAGCTTTATTAAAACAGTGAATCATCAGTGATAATTAGTATGTTCAAACAGACCCTAAAACTCCGTGGGAAAATGTAAGCCCATGTTAAAAACGATGTGATTTTCTGAAAACATATTTTATATTTGGTTAAGAAATTGCAGTTTTAAAAATAGTCCATATGTGATAGATTTATAAACACTTGCAAATGAATTGTCCAATAATGTGTTACAAGATATAAATTTTGTAAGGTTTGAAACTTATTTTTTAATGTCCATAATTTTTTAAATGATAAGCTGCGGGTATTTCAATACTAAAATTGTATTTTATCGCGGAATTTTGAGATGTGACTGCACTCTTTATTATAGAACCTAGGGTTATATAACTATTTTCTCTTATGAATAGAGTATATCAAGGTTTAGAAACGCATCTCGACCAAGGTACTCGGTCTTTTACTGAGGCGAGTGAAAGGACTCGTCTAAATCTTGCATAGGGAAAAACCCTAGAAAAAATAAAATAAAGGTATATAAAAAATAAAATAATGGTAGGAAAAGTAAAATAAAGCCAAAAGTAATTTTAAAAATTAAAAATAAAAAGCGCAAAAGATGGATATGAGAAAAAATGATTTGTAGTTAGGAATATTTTAAAAATACAAAAATAGAGATTATGGAAGAAAAAACACTCACAAATCTTTGCCAAAACAATCTAATCATATGCAAACGAATTAAAAAAATTCCTATGTCTTTTACAATTTTACAATTTTTTTATTTTTATTTTTTTTATGTACCCCGAGTTGTTCACATAACTTGGGGTAACTTGGCCTTGCCCTACCTTGCTCGAGTCTGAGTTAACCCGGGCAAGTGCCCCAACACTGGAATAGATAGTGGTGGTTTTCATGGGACTTAAAAGTAAAAGGTGATTTTCTTTTGTTTTTCTTTTCGTTTTTTTTTTTGGACGTTAAGGTATGATGTCTTCAAATTTTTAAAATTATCGTAAAAAAGGATAGTGTTTAAAATTAGGAAGATTTATCAAATTATCGATGAGAGATTATTCACACGTTGCATGTATCTTTTGATTGAATTTCAAAATAACACATGACCTGGAGTTGCATGTATCTTTTGATTGAATTTCAAAATAACACATGACCTGGAGTTGAAATAGTTACAAATGGGTAGAATGTTAAATAATTAATCTCTTGTAGGTATTTCGTTAAATTTTTCAATTAATTATCATATTTAATAATTATTGCTAGTTATTGTTACATTTATTTTTATATGATAAATCTCAAACTTAATGCCTATTTTATATGTAATAAATAACATAATTATGTACAACATTATCATTGGGAAGGATTTTTATGTGACCCCACCCACATATATAGTATATGTGACCTTTAGTCTCAGCTATAAGATCTAAGTATATGGTTAAAATGCTTGAGTCACAATGTCACAAATTCGCTTTTAACCGTAAGATCTTGATTGGACAGCTAAAATTTTTTTAGTTTTAATTTTTATTTTATAGATCATTTGAAAGAAAATTTTGGGGCATGAATAGATCTGGCAGTGGCACATAAGATAAAAATAATAATAAAATATTTTTGGTGATAAAAATTACCAGAATACTTCTAAAATTTATAGGGGTATTTTGGTAATTTATTTTTACAGAAAAAATTTATTTTTTTATTTTTCCCAAGCTCGCCTACTTTTATGATGGGATGCCCAAAATTTCATCCAAACATATTTTATAGAAAAAAAGTAAAAAATAAAACAATATTTGGTATGACATTGGGGCTACCTAAAAACATTTCCAATTCATTACTATCTTCAATCATTCACTATATCAATTCTATCCATAATAACTAAGTCATATGGATAATACTAATTATTAATAATGTTGACTTATTTAGACATTTTTTCTTTCATATATTATATGATATTACCCATAATTTATATTAATCAATGATTAACATCAAAGTTAGGAATATCAATTAATAATACCAACTTGTCAATATTAATGATTAAAATTATTGATATATTAATTATTTCACATATTATCAATTAAATATTAACATCATAGTTAGGAACATTAGTTTATAATTTTTAGTTGATCAATGGTTTACATTGATATAGTCATTGACATATTGATAATATTATATGTTATTATTAATTAACATGCAATTTTTGGGATTTTTGTTTTCTGTTAATTTTTTTGGATAATTAAGTGAAGATGAGAGTAAAAGGCTAGACCTTAGTTGAGCCACTAATGATATTCCACCACGACCCCAACCCCATTTTCGTTTTCTGTTAATTATACTCATTTATATGCATTTTCTCAATTGTTTTGAATCTCGTCATTCATTATCAAAAGCTGCATGCATTTAAATCCACTTGTAATGAGATAATTACTTAACGAAGTGACGAAATTAAGACATAATAATTTCAAAATTTATCCTTTCCTATTTTTTTTTTTTGACAAATCATATAGTCTTCTAAACTCGCTCTATTGTTAAGGGCATGTGCCCTACATTTGGGGTCAAGGAGCTTTTTTATTCTTGGAACACTAGCATAGATTTATGTATAATGTATCTATTAATTTCAAATCAACTTTTTCAATAACCATAACAATAATTAATTTTAACTGCCGATAAAAGTACTCATATGATAGATGTTAAAAGAACGGTGGAGAAAAATACAACAATAATAAGACAATAATTTTCAGCTGTGTAACTGTAATTCTTGAAAAGGGATCAGAATAAAATATTTTTTTCGGTTTTGTATTAATGGGGTCAAGACAAGAGAGCCCCTGACAAAAACAGGCGTATGTCACTTTAATGTGGTGAGCACACGGTATTCTTTAGTAAAAGGCGAAAGAATAGTTCGCTTTGTGCTCACCACACGACTCCGTCGTGCCTTTCTACTTTTTCTTTGCCCTAATTTATAGCTTCCCTATCTCATCAAACTCTCATCCTCATCGGTGTGGCATTAAATGAGACGGACCCAGAAAAAGAAAGTCACAACTTCCATTCGAGGAATATGATGGATTTCATACAAAACATGATTCCACTCGCCCATTGTTTCCTACTCTCAATTGTTAGGATGTATTTTTCTTTTTTTCCCCGCTTTGTATGAAATAATTGGTCTCTTTGCTTTAACTGCTGGGGGTGGCAACGGGTCGGGTAGGATCGGGTTGTGCCGGACTCAGATTCAGACCTGGACCCAGAAATATAGTGTAGAACCCGGATCCAATTGTACCCTACCCAAAAATTTAAAAATATCTATATATTTAAATATATTTCATATATTGGCACCTGAAAAATATTATCGGACCCAAACCCAAACCCAAACCCGGACCTGATCCACTAGGTCCAATTTTTTACCCATACTTGGTTCGGGATCTGGTCCAAGAGAGAGGGAGAGCAACTGAGTGGCCATGAGAGAGAATCTTTGGTCTCTATTTTAGGTGGGTCTCACTTTTAATCCGAATCCCATCCCATCCCATCAACCCAAGCTTTGAAAGTTAACCTAGGCTGGTGTTTTCATTCTCAAGTTCAATGAAGATCAAACTTGGTCAAAGTTCATTTTTGTTTTTTATTTTGAGTACATTCCCCATTCTCTTGTGAAGCAACTTGAAAAAATTTGAATCAAAACGGATTTTTTTACTATTTTTAATGATTTTTTTGGTAAAACATGACATTTACTGGAATGACTTGGACGACACTGCCATTGTCGCCCAGTCCAGGCTGGGTGACACGGCTAGTGTCGCCTAACTTAAAACTTGTCCAAATTTCCTTTTTTTCACTTTGGATGTTTTTTTAGCCTCTTACGAAGCTTACAGAGAAAATTTGGATCAAAACGAATTTATTTACTATTTTTAATGATTTTTTTGGTAAAACAAGGCGTTTACAAAAATCTTGGTCAAAACAAGGTTCTGCAGGGTTCCGGGCCGGCAGACTTGTTCCGG